AGTCCGATGTCAGCCTGATTGATTTTCCTTTGAATGTTATCTGTTTCTTCCCTCTTGTCAGCTTCATTGTTTTTTCCTTGTCCTGGATTCTTGGGAGCTTTACTATTATGTGTCTTGCTGTATTTTTCCTTTCGTCGTGGAAGTTTGGTGTTCTTCTTGCTTCTTATATCTCAATTTTCAGCTCCTTCTTCACATTTGGGAAGTTCTCTTCAATTATCTCCTGGAATATTTTCTCTGTTCCTACATCTCTCTCCTCTCCTTCTGGAATTCCTATAATTCTTATATTTCCTTTCCTCATGGAGTCAGATAGTTCCCGAAGTCTTTCTTTGTTGTTTTTCCTTCGTACTTCTCTTTCCTTTTCTGTTTTGGTTCTTTTTATTTCTGTGTCTTCAAGAGTACTTATTCGTTCTTCCATTTCATCTATTCTGCTTCCATTGCTTTTCCCAGAGTTCTTTAGTTCCTCCATTAATTCTTTGATCTCCTGCGTTTTTTTTGCTACCCTCTTTACGGACTCAATTTCATTCTTCTGATCGTTGATTATTTTTCTCATGTCATTGTTTTCCTTTATGACTTCTGTCAGTTTTTTAATCACAGCAATTTTAAATTCTCTTTCTGGAAGTCTCAGAAGTTCTTCCAAGTTACTGTCGTTGTAATCTAGAGGGTGGTTTTCTTTTTGTGGTGTGCTTTTTTCCTGAGGAGTTGTTAGGTTGCGTGTTTTTCTCCTACTCACTACTGTCTGTTTTCTAATTTGTCGTATGCTTTGGGACACTGTGTTGCTCGGACTGGCCGGCATCTTGGGTGAACTTCTCCGCTCCCCTCTGGCTCCTCCAGGAGCCATCTCTGGCTTCTGAGGGAGCTTTCTGCTGGTTTCAGGCAGTCTTTACTGAAGAAATGTCCCTGTTCTAAAATGGCGACGCGGGACTCAGTCCCTGCGCTTCCGGTCTCAGGCACACTCTTCTGCGCACCCGGTCTGCCCCGGCCGTGGGTTCCTGTTCCCTCTGTGGGCTCAGACTGCTGGTCGGAAGGGGCCTGGTGTGGGCTAATTTCCCAGCTGGCCACTGTCTCCTCCGGGAGCCTTCTGCCCTTTTCAAGCAGTATAAGAAATTTTAATAAGGGAATATTTCTAATGAACACAAAGACCTAATAGAATATTATCCATTACTCTGCTTCTTTGCCAACTCATTGCCAGTATTGTATCATCTCTTCTTCTACCAAGTAATTTCCTTACTGATTTGAAATAAATTCCAGATATCATATTATTTCATATATATTCATTTAAATACCAGTTACTATAGGATAAGGTCGTTTTTACAAGCACAATGCCATCATCATACTTGAAATTTAATCTTTTAATAGCATCAAAAACCCAGTCAGTGTTGAAATTTCCAATTGTTTAATGAATATAGTACATGTTTCTATAGTTAAAGAAATCACAACCCAAAGAAGGCTCACACATTGTATTTGGTTATTTAGCTGTAATCTATTCTTTCATTCTCTTTCCCTCTTCCTGTTTTTCTTTTTTTTAAAGAATCTATTAAGATATATTTTTTTAAAGATCTATTTATTCATCCATACAAGCACTGCATACAGTCAGAAGCGCGGGAGGGTGAGAGAATTCACCAGAGACAGAGTGGAAAGCAGAACAGGCAGACTGATGAAATACACTGCTGAGGGGAGCAGCGGGTGGCAGGAGAGATCTGCGCACCATGTGGGACCCTCACCCGGTGGCCGGGGATCGAACTGGCGCTGCAGAGGCTGCAGGCAGCTTCGCAACCCAGCGCTCAACTGCTGTGCCACAGGGGAGGCCCTCCTCTTCTGTTTTTTTCAGTTATCTAGAGCTTTATTTATTGTCTATTTTGGTGACTTTCAGTGATGAACTAAATGTAGTATATATAGATGTATGCACTTGGCTTATTTGTCCATATAAGTGTGGTTTTATTTCAGCTCTCACTTCTATTCTATTGGTATGTATGTCCGTTTTTATTTTAGAATCATACTGTTTTGATTATGGTAACTTTGTAGTACAGTTGGAAACCTGGTAGTGTAATACCACCTGTCTTTTTTTTTTTTTTTTTTGGTCAGGATTGCTTTGCTTACTTCTGGTCTTTGGAGGTTCCATGTGAATTTCAGTAATGTTTGTCTTATTTCTGTGAAGAATGCCATTGAAATTTTGATAGATTGAATTAATTGTATAGAATGATTTGGTAAGTGGGCATTTTAACAATGTTATTTCTTCCAATCCATGAACAGGGAATATCTAGATTCTAGAAAATTGTTCTCTCCTTTGATGACACGGTAATTTAAGGATTCAAGTTGCATGTGTTACATTTTTCTCTGCAAATTTTGCTGCTGTAGAGTTTGCTATATTGAAAAAAGTGTCCTATGCTGTAACTTAGAGATTTATAGAACTTCTGCTTTCCTAGTAAGTGACTTTTAAAAAAAGTTTTCCCTGGCTTTATTTTAGACATTTGGCCTTTCTGGGCATTCATATGTTATACTTTGTGTAGGCCTGATATGCTGTTGCTGAGTCAGCAAAGTGGGAAGGGTCTGGAGGTGTCTAGTTGTTGGTGAATGTTGATGGGGGAGGCTGGCTGATGTTTGTGACACCACTGATAGCCCTCCTCTCTGGAAGTCCAGACTGCCTTTGCAGTCTACCTGGTGTCCATGTATTTCACAAAGTCACTGCCAGTTTTGAGGGGTGTAGTCCTTCCTCCATTCTTCCTTATCTCTTTCCCCTCTCTACCCTCTGTTTTTTTTTTTTTAGATTTATTTATTTATTTATACAAGCACTGGGTACAGTCAGAAGTGCGGGAGGGTGAGAGAATTCACCAGAGCCAGAGCGGGGGGCAGAGCAGGCAGAAGGACCGAAGTACACTGCTGAGGGGAGCAGCGGGCGGCAGGAGGGGTCTGCGCGCCATGTGGGACCCTCCTCCGGTGGCCGGGGAGCAGCCGGGGATTGACCTGGCGCCGCAGAGGCCGCGGGCAGCTTCGCAACCCAGTGCTCAACTGCTGCGCCACCGGGGAGGCCCTACTCTCTGTCTCTTGCAACTTATTTTGCAACTAATTTGGTGAGTTAAGATGCCTGGATTAAAAGCAAACATTCAGTAATTACAGAAAGGTTAGGTTTGGAAGGATAACTTCTTGGGATGATAACATTGGGAGTCAATTTCCCCTTGGGCTTTCTCCTTACCCAACTGTTGACATTATGGTGTCCCCCAAAGGGCAGACCTTCCCTACAAACAATTTTTTTTTTCTAGAAGCTTTATGGTTTTTGTGTCAGTGAGATCTACACATATGGAAGAAAAAAAAGCAGACCCTGGGGCTTCAGTCCCTTTGAAAAACGAAGGTGAAAGGGCTCAGTCCATTCTAATTAGTATTTCATCTGAACACAGTTGGGGCCTCCTGGAGCTAGTACAGTCCCAGCATGAGTACACAAATGAGGCCCCTTTATGGGGATGACTTGCCCTGTAGAAACACTTTTAAGGAAAATAACAAAAGGGAATCCTGATTTTGTGAGAACGTGGAGAAGAGGGAGCACAGCTCTACACAGACTTTCTAACTTGGGTGTTTGATGTTAGAAACAGAGAAGGTGAGAACAAGGAGGTTTGAACTGAACTGGAGGTGGGAAAACGGGGTCAGAGACCTCTGCTTTTGGATGTATTTTCTTTTCTACATTACAATTTAAAAGTTATTGTTCTCATGTTCATGAAGAAATAGAATATTTCATCAAAATACCATGGCTCATACTTCAGTCTCAAATATTACCTCTTTGGCATAGCGTGTAGAACTGCCTGTGGGGAAGAGCTGATCTGAAATGACATGGGGAGTGCATCCCCTGGCAGGTGATTTATTCATTGAAAGTCAGTTGTTAATAGTTACTACACTTTAAAAGTAAACTAATTAATAAAAAATCACTGATTATGTTAATAATTTCTACTTTAATCCCAGGTGAGTTTAGTAGACTTAATGGAACAGAAATAGCCCTACCAAAAGAACACAACTAAGGTTCTGGACAAAGCTAGGACCAGCTCTCACTCCAGTGCTGTACGTAGATGTAGCGACTCAGCCATCTGGCTGGAGCCTTAACGTCTATACCTTCCCTTTCTGGTGCTGACAACCAGTAGGTGTGGTGCTTAAGTCCAAACAAATTTTATTTTTTATTTATTTATTTTTAAATTTTTTATTTTATTTATTTATTTATACAAGCACTGGGTACAGTTAGAAGCGCGGGAGGGTGAGAGAATTCACCAGAGCCAGAGCGGGGAGCAGAGCAGGCAGAAGGACCGAAATACACTGCTGAGGGGAGCAGCGAGCGGCAGGAGAGGTCTGCGCGCCATGTGGGACCCTCCCTCAGGTGGCCGGGGAGCAGCCGGGGATCAAACTGGCGCTGCAGAGGCTGCAGGCAGCTTCACAGCCCAGCGCTCAACCACTGCGCCACCAGGGGAGGCCCCCAAACAAATTTTATAGGTTAACTTAGGTTTTGTTGCTCAGATTCTATAAGATCTTTAATAGTCTCTTTGCTGTAGTTTTCTCATCTGTAATATGATATTAAAAGTAGTGTCTGCCAGATGGGATTGTTGTAAGCATTGATATTTGATTTACTGTACTCCCTAGTTCATAGCAAGGACCAAAAAAAAAAAAAAAAACCCAAAAACCGTGGTTAGTGAGATCTTCCTTGTTGTATAGTGAATTTCATAAAAGCAGGGATCATGTGTACTTTTGGTTGGGGAACCATGTATAATTTATCCAACTGTGTTTAGTATCTAACAAATTGAGAGATTGTAAGTGGTCAATAAATGAACCTGAAATAAGCTACGGAGTGAGTGGAGAGTGGGTACATAGAAAGATCATAATCAAGGGAATGGAATGAAAGAAAAAACTCCTTTGGAAATTAGGAGCACCCATGCAAGAAAAGATGATCCCTATAAGTTATCCTAGAGTAAATTTTAGTGTTATTTGATCCTAACACTTTTTTTTACAGGTGATGTGGATCATATCTTATGGCTAATAGAAGCAGGACAGAAGTGACTGAGTTTGTCTTATTGGGTCTGTCCAGCTGGCCAGAGATGCAACCAGTTATTTTTGGGATTATCCTGGCCATGTACCTGGTGGCAGTGATGGGCAATGCTCTTTTAGTAGCTGTTGCCCTATCAGACCCCAAGCTCCAGACCCCCATGTATTTCCTGCTCAGTCAGCTTTCTTGCATTGACATATTTCTGACAACCATCACTGTTCCCCAGATGCTGGTGCACACACTGTCTGTGACCAGAACCATCTCATTTAACTGCTGCATGACCCAGCTATTCTTCTTCATGGCTGTGGGCAGCATGGAAGGCCACTTGTTGGCTGCCATGGCCTATGACCGCTATGTTGCCATCTGTGACCCCCTAAGATACTCTGCCATTGTCAGCCGTCGTCTCTGTCTACGCATAACCTTGACCTCATGGGTGGTTGTCAGCCTCAACAGTCTCCTTTATAGTGTGTTGGTCACCCGCTTAACCTTCTGTGGCAACCAGATCACCCATTTCTTCTGTGACATCACACCCTTGCTGAAGCTCTCCTGCACCCGGCCAGTGGTCAATGAAATGCTAATATTCACTGAGGGCGTAGCTGTGGTGGTCAGCCCCTTCTTCTTCATTTTAGGGTCTTATGCCTGCATTGGCGCTGCCATCGTCCGCATGCACTCACTCGCCGCCCTGCGCAAAGCCCTGTCCACGTGCAGCTCCCACATCCTGGTTGTGCTGCTCCTGTATGGCTCTGTGATCCGCATGTACCTGCGACCATCTTCCAGCTATGACTTGGACCAGGATCGCCAGGTCGCCATCTTTTACACAGTGGTCACCCCTATGCTGAACCCTCTGATCTACAGCTTGAGGAACCAGGAGGTTAAGGGAGCTCTGCGAAGGCTTTTCAGGAAACTCTGCATCTCAGGAAACTTCCAGCCTGGTTCCCAGGCAAACAGGAAATGGAAGCACATTTCCTGAGCCGAAGGTGTTACGATCTAGCTTGAAAATGTGTCGAATAGAAATGGTGCCCTCTTAATAATGGGTATGGCTCACATTTTTATGGAATAACCTTCTTGGTTAATGTCCTTTAGTTTGTGTTTGGGAAGATTGAGTTCACAGATATTCTGGTTCCTAGAAAATCCCTGCATTGAGATTCATAATATCTCATTGTAAAAATACATGAAAAGATATTTTAAAATCACAAACCTGTATTTCTTATTTTTTATATCTAATGTGGGGAATAGATCTAATAGGGGGTTACTAAGCCAAAAAATTAAAAATCAGCGTGTCCTTCAAATTTTTGATCAATTAGTGATGGTGTGACATGTTTTTCAAAGAGAAGTTGAAGTGAGTTACAATATCATTAAATAGAAGAGTGAGTTTTGGGGAAACCACAGAGAAACCTTGGCTTTCATTAAAATTGCAGTTAACTTATGGTCCCTCATCATTTCAGCAACCTCTGAACTGAACTCACTCCAGTACTTACAGTGACTACAGTGACAGTGTAGCGGGGGTGGGGGGCTCTACATGGTGGCTCTCATGCCAGCAGAACGTGGTCAGATTTGGGAGGACATGTGTGAAGCAGAGCTGTTTGGGCACTCTGATAGCCTTAATATAATAAGAGAAAAAGGAGAATCAGGGATGGACTGTGAATATGGTGGAATTATCTTGCCACTTATTTATTTGTGGGAGGTTCTGTGGAAGTGAAGTTTTTATGTATTTGGTTTGGGAGGGACAAAATCAATAACATTGTTCTGGTCAAGTTAATTTTGTGATACCATCCTATTGAAGATGTTTCATAGGCAGTTGAATACATAATTTTGAGACTCACGGGTAGGGCTTATCTTGAGATTGAAATGTCATAACAAGATGTAAGTGATAGTTGAAGCCCTGGGATTGAATAAAATTATCTAGGAAGAAAGCACATAACAGAGTTTATGGGTGGAAACCTGAGATTGGTGTGCACTCAACATTTACAGTTCCAGAAAGGAGTTTGCAGAGGAAACTGAGAAAGGGTCATGAGTAAAAAGAAAGCAGCAAGTTTGGTTTCTAGTAATCCTAGAAAAGAGTGGTCTTTCATTGAGAGGTCACTAATGAGAACAGGTGATTATCAGATTTGGCAAGATATAGAGCACTGGAACAAATTGATTAGAACAGTTAAAGAAAATATTAGAGAAAAATTCCAACTGCAGTCATTTCATGATAAAATTTCAAGAGAGGTAGTGGAGGTTGTGATTACATATGCGGCTGCTTTTTTTCCCCATAAGGGAAAATTTATTGCTATTGGAATGTGTGTTAAGAATAAATCATGGGCCTCCCGGTAGCGCAGTGGTTGAGCGCTGGGCTGCAAGGCTGCCTGCAGCCTCTGCAGCGCCAGTTCAGTCCCCAGCTGTCCTGCGAGGGTCCCGCATGGTGCGGCAGACCTCTCCTGCTGCACCCGCTGCTCCCCTCAGCAGTGTATTTCGTCAGTCTGCCTGTTCTGCTCCCCGCTCTGGCTCTGGTGAATTCTCTCACCCTCCTGTGCTTCTGACTGTACCCAGTGCTTGTGTAAATAAATAAATAAATCTTAAAAAAAAAATAAATCATGACTTGGCTGTGACAAATAAAGCAGCTTATAGTGAAGAACAGTCAATTATTGAAATAACTGACATAAGATCATACTAGTTTTGTATATACAACATGATTCAATTTTTGTATGTATTGTAAAATGCTCAATAAGTCTAATTAACATCCATGACTCTGCAGTTACACATTTTCTCCTTATGATGAGGACTTTTAAAGTCCAGTCTTAGCAATTTTCAAACATGCATTGCAGTGTTAAGTATAGTCATCATGTTGTACATTACATACCCATGATTTATTTTATAACTGGAAATTTGTATCTTTTGGCCTGTTTCACCCATGCCATTCACCCCATGCCCCTCCACTGGTAACCACCAAGTAACTTTCTGTGGAGAAATCCATTGATAATATTATGGGGTTTCCCTTGTAGGTAATGTCACTTTTTCTTGTTGCTTTCTTTCTCTCTTTGTCTTTGACTTCTGATTATTTGATTAATTTGATGACTGAAACATAAGAATGTAGGATGGTAGGGAAATAGAGAGTCAGGAAATGTATGAAGTAAAGGGGAGATGGATCTAGAACCTGCACAGACTATGAGAGAATATTTGCCAGTTTTTAAAATCAGGTCGTGTATTTTTGTTGAGTTGTACAAGTTGTTTATGTATTTGAATATTCGCCTCTTATCTAAGGCATGGTTTGCAGATATTCTCTCCCGCTCAGTAGGCTGCCTTTTCATCTTAGTGATGGTTTCCTTCGCAATGTCTGAGCATTTCAGTCTCATGTAGTCCCATGTGTTTATATTCTCTTTTGTTTCTTCTGCTGTTAGAGACAGATCCACAAGACCTCACTAAGACCTACATCACAGAGCTTTTATCTATGTTTTGTTCTATGTATTTTTTAGTTTCAGGTATCATATTAAAGTATTTAATCCTTTTGGGGTTGATTTTAGTGTATGGTATAAGATAGTGATCTAGTTTCACTCTTTTACACGTGGCTGTTCAATTTCCCACCACTGTTGATTGAAGAGACTTTTGTTTCTTCATTGTATGTTCAGCAAGGAATAAAACATGTAAAGCACTCAAAATAATGATCAACTCATGGTAAATAGAATATATATGGAATCTTATTTTTATAATTATTATTATCAGTAATATGCAGATGAAGAAATAATGGGAGAAAAGGACAGAGCTGCTAGGTAGACCTTTGTAGATCTACATGTATCTAAAAGCTATCACATAAGTTAGGATAAGGCTGGGACTCAATCTACCTCTTTTTTATTGACTGCACAGCAATATATAGTATACATGCATTATATTGGTTGGAATTTTCTCCAAAGTATCGCCTAAAAAGCCACCCTTAACTTCAGTGACTTATAACAACAAACATTTATTTTTCAGTCAAAAGCCTGCAGGTTCTACTTCAGACTCTGGGCCAAGTTCAGATCTGTTTTCTTTTTCTTTATGAAACTCAAACTAAGAAACCACAGCTCCATGAGAAGAACTTTTCTTATGGTAAAGATTAGTGCTTAAGAGAGTGGACCAGACATCTCACCCAGCTCTAACCCATTCAGAACTTTTTATCAGAAGCCACATTTGTTATGCCTTGCCATAAACTGCTGGCTAGAGCAAGCCCAGAGCCAATGGGGTGGATAACTATACTGCCTGGCTAAAGCTATGGCAGGAATGGGAAAGAATTGTGAACAAATTCTATCTCTGTAACAACCAAGCACAATAAACCGGAATCACATTAGTGTGCATGAAATTTATTTTGAAATTTTCACTATCACAAATAATAGTGTTTATTTAACATCCGAAAATCAATCAACGTTATCCAACACATCAACAAAAAGAAATATAAAAACCATATGATAATATCAATAGATGCTGAGAAAGCTTTCGACAAAGTGCAACACCCATTCATGATAAAAGCCCTTGAAATTCTTGGGATACAAGGAACATACCTCAACATCATAAAGGCCATCTATGACAAGCCAACAGCCAGTATCATTCTCAATGGTGAAAAGCTGAAAGCAATTCCATTAAGATCTGGAACAAGACAAGGATGTCCACTCTCACCACTGCTTTTCAATCTAATACTGGAAGTCCTAGCCAGAGCAATAAGACAAGAGAAAGACATCCAAGGAATCCAAATAGGAAAAGAAGAAGTCAAACTATCACTATTTGCAGATGATATGATAATATACATAGAGAACCCCAAAATCTCCACAGAAAAACTAATTCAACTCATCAATCAATTCAGTAAAGTGGCAGGATACAAAATCAACACGCAAAAGTCAGTAGCCTTCCTATACACAAACAACAAATCTGAAGAAGAAGAAATCAAAAAAACCATCCCTTTCGTTATCGAAACAAAAAAATCAAATATTTGGGAATAAATCTAACAAAAGAGGTAAAGGACCTATACAAAGAAAACTATAAAACACTGTTAAAAGAAATAGAAGAAGACACAAAGAAATGGAAAGACATCCCCTGCTCATGGATTGGAAGAATAAACATTATTAAAATGGCCATACTACCAAAAGCAATATACAGATTCAATGCTATTCCAATCAAAATTTCAATGTCATTCTTCAAAGAAATAGAACAATTATTGATGAAATTCATATGGAATCACCAAAAACCCTGAATAGCCAAAGCTCTACTAAAAAAAAGAAGGAAATGGAGGCATCACACTCCCAGACTTCAAACTATACTACAAAGCCATAATCATCAAAACTGCATGGTATTGGAACAAGAACAGACATACAGACCAATGGAATCGAATAGAAAATCCAGAAATAAACCCACAGATTTATGGTCAACTAATCTTTGACAAAGGAGCAAAGACTATGCATTGGAGCAAAGAAAGTTTGTTCAATAAATGGTGCTGGGAAAACTGGGTCGCTACATGCAAAAGAATGAAGCTTGACCACTACCTCACACCATACACAAAAATCAACTCAAAATGGATTAAAGAACTAGACATAAGACCTGAAACCATAAAATACGTAGAAGGAAATATAGGCGAAACACTACGGGATTTGCACATCAAAGACATCTTTACAGACACATCACCCAAAGCAGTGATAGTGAAGGCAAAGATAAACAGCTGGGACTACATCAAATTAAAGAGCTTCTGCACAGCAGAAGAGACAATAACAAAAACAAAGAGAAACCCCACCAACTGGGAGAACATTTTTGCACCCAACACTAATGATAAAGGACTGATGACAAAAATCTGCAAAGAGCTGATGAGACTCAACAACAACAAAGAAAATAATCCAGTCAAAAAATGGGCAGAAGAGCTAAAAAGAAACTTCTCTGAAGAGGAAATGCAAATGGCCAACAGGCATATGGAAAAATGTTCAACATCACTTGTCATCAGGGAAATGCAAATCAAAACTACCATGAGATACCATCTTACACCAGTGAGAATGGCACATATTAAAAAATCTAGCAACGGGCCTCCCCGGTGGCGCAGCGGTTGAGCGCTGGGTTGCGAAGCTGCCCGCCAGCCTCTGCAGCGCCGGTTCGATCCCCGGCTGCTCCCGGCCACCGTGTGAGG